TATGAAAATGGAAGGTGTTAGAACCATTTTCATCTGTAGTTATCTACGGGGTCTTAATTTCTAACTCACTTTGAAATGCTTTGTAAATGTGTTTGTGTTTGAAAATATTTTGAAAAGTGCCTTCGTATGGAAAACTTTGTAATAATTCTTGTATCATTGAGAATGTATACAAAGTGTTTATCTTTGAAAAAATTTCTAGAAAAGGAAATGTTTTGAAAATGCCAATGTAAGGCAATTTTGTAATGATTCTTGTATCGTGGAGAATGTATAGAAAATATTTGTTTTGAAAAGTGTTTTGAAAGTGTGAGGTGTAAAGATTGTTTTGATTTATGGGCAAGAAATTACGAGCAATCTACCGACTCAAAAAGTCTTTGTTCTTTTACTCCTCCTTTAGATAGTGCTATCCTACCATTGATTAGTAGGAAGCCCTATTATCGAATGTGAGGGACAGACGCGAGTCATTGTACAGTCATAGAAGGCAATTTGTGGGACGCTTTATCAATTTTCATATAGGACTAAGATCGTTTATCGAAGGTAACATAGAAGGGTCGTCGAGGGACTATGATCTTTTTTTTAATTGAGGGTCTTTGCTAAAGTGTCCCATATTGAAGAGACATGACTGTTTTATTCGAAGGCAACAAGTGAGGGTCACCCTAGAGATACACGTGTGAAAAGTGTTTTGTTTTCAATTAATTTGTCTTGATTAGGGTTATCTAGCGGCTGATTTTAAATCTTGCCATACACGCCTAATTACTATACAATGATAAGTAAATGCGGTAAAGTGCAAAAAATAAAGTTATACGCTATTACAATGCTTCGGGGAAGGGGTATAAATTTATGAATGGGGATGAAGTAAAGACCTAGTTAAACTATTACAAACCATAAGCAATTGCAACAATCGAAAGCATGCGAAAAATGGTAAACAACGAGAAAATGAAAAAAGAAAGAAAATTGTTTTTTTTGTGTATTTTGATAGAAAAGAAAGTAAAATATATAATAGAAATGTAACTAAAACAAAATTTATCTGGATTAAATTAATATTCTAAGATTATCAAAATTAAAATTCTAAAATTATCAAAATTAAAATTCTAAAATTATTAAATTAAAACTAAACTAAATTAAAATTTTAAAGTTGTCAAAATGTTTCTAAACTAACTAAAAACTACTAAAAATGATTCTAAACAAAAATAATATTCTAAATCCACTAAATTAATTCTAAATTTAAGCTAATTAATAAAATTATCTAATTAAAACTACATATTTATCTCTAATAAATTAACTAACCTAAACTGAATATAATTAAAAAAAAATTAGTAAAACTAAACTAAATAGTATGGGGTGGGATTTGATTTTTTGGATTTGGGCTTGGCTGTTCGATTGAGCAAGGCCCGGTAGAGTTATTATTTGTTTACTGTAATGAAGAGAGAAAAAAGAAACAAATGGGTGTATTGGGTTAAAAACCGGATCGGGTTAGGCCCAATAAGAAAAGGAATTTGAAGAGTTCTTGAAACCTAATTTTGCTATGGAACCGTGTCTGCTACTAACTTGGAGAAGAACAACATTTATTCTTCTTAGTTATTTCCTAATTACCGAGAACGATAAAGTCTCTCTCTCTCTCTCTCTCTCTCTCTCTCTCTCTCAAAATAACTCTTTCTCATCTTGCCTAAATCAAACAACAACAACGACCAAACTCTTCTCTTCCATTTCCAAAAATCTCACGGTTTATTCTCTTTCGTTCGATATCTCTCTTTCTCCACTCACACCCTTTCTTCGGTTTTCACTGGTCACAACTGAACAACAACAACAATTTGTTCCTCACTCGCGTTTCCGCTCATAGATTCATCAAATTCCAATAAAACTCTCGTTCATCTCAACTCAGTTTTCACGATTGGTTTCGAAAAGTACTCTCGCGGATTATCTCTGTATCAACATCCTAAATTGAGGACCGTTGGGATTTTCCTCACGTGTCCACTAGGAGGACGTAGCTCACGTGGACATGTCATCATCATCCTGCTCTCCAGGAATAACGGGTCCAACTCTTGCTTTCTTGGGGAAGTTGACCAGGGAGGGGGTCACGTACTGGATTCCATACTTCTGTAAACTTTAACAGTCTTTGTTGTTGGGCTTCATCGTGGCCTAACACTGAAGACCTTGGCCCAGCGTTGGGGACTATAAATACCCACTCACTTGAGAGCGTTAGGTATGCAATCTCACTCATATTCTCATACTTGTTTGCATTTGTTCTGAATCTCACTTTGACATCAGAGTGTCTTGCAGGTACCCCCGCTCACTTCACATGCAACTGCTGCTCGACTTAAAGCTTGTGGACTTTGACAATCCCTTTTGATCACGTACGATCAATAATAATTTACACCCATTATCTAATAAAAATTAGTGTCATTTAGCATATATTTACACCTATTTTTAAATAGGTGTAAATTCGTTAGACATTTCTCACCCGTTGAATTTACACCCTACAAAAATGGGTGTAAATTTATCTTTTTGTACTAGTGTAGATTTAAGGGAGATATTTTGACAATATGTAACATTTGATTTAGACAACCAAAGGAATTAGGAAGAACTCGAAGGTTAGAGGGTGAGGGAAGAACATTCAATCCAGAAAATTTGCACTGCTGCTAGGAGAATCAGGTAAAGGGGGAGAACTACTTCTCTAATGGATATATAAATGACGGGTAGAATAAGGAGTTTTTAACCTCCAATAAAATTGTTAGATTTTGTTTGGATTCTGAAACTAATACTTTTTATGTTAATAATGTATGCTGTTTGTGATGTTTATTTTCGTATACCCGTTTGTGTATAAATCATGTTTGAAGATTGTTAATGGTGAAAAGCCATATGAGTTTTTAAAGGATATAAAGATTTTGCGAAGATATAAAAATAATTAATTAATAGTATTAATTTGATGCAATAATATAATATAAATATATATGATATATGTAATATTTTGAGTCAAATTTAAGTGTTAAAGTGAAAAATCGAAATTCTGCGTTTATCTCCATAGCAGAAAACGAATTTTGCAATCTATAGGTCAATGACTGGCGTCATTAAAAGTGCTGATGGGGTTAGAGGGATCGTGGTCTATATTAGTGGTTTTAATGGGGTTAGAGGGATGTCCTAACAATTATAATAGGAGAATCAACATGTCTTTTTTATTCAAATATCCTTACCCTAAAACACTAAGAATTTTGATCATAGTAGTATACTTCAGTAGTACTTCCCATCAGCCACCTATACACCAGTAAAGTTCATTCCTTCTGATTCCATAAGAAAAACTACTTATCACATATATTCTCTTTGTCCCTTTATATAACCATCTCTTATTTTTTTTCCATATATTAAGAAAATAGATTAATAAATGTATTGCGTTCATTTTGTATGTAGAATTTTCTAAAATACTACTAGTAAATTAATATGTATAATCAGTTTTTTAAATTCTAAAATAAAACAGTAGTATTAATAATATTTGATGAATTGGGGATAATGTTTTCAAAAGACATAATACTCAAGGCTAAAATGTATTTTTCAAAGGGAACTTATAAGTAAAGACAAATAGAATAATTTTAAAGGTACTTATAATTAAAGTCGGAGGATTTTTAATAGTAATTATGTTTGATTATCAATGTAAAAAATGCTTACACTTTTATACAAATTTGTTTTTGTTATTAGAAATCACACACACAACTTTATACAAATTTGTTTTTGTTATTAGAAATCATACACACAACTCGAGTGACTAAGTGGACGGTCTATTCTGTTTAAATTCGTCTAAAAAAGTGAAGCGGGATAGACTAACTTAAACGTCTGAACTCAAAAGTTAAATCTGTCTCATTTACTAACAAGTTTGCAAGTTGGCGGATCGGTCCCCTATTTTAAAACTAACTAATAAAAAACTCAATTAAGATTTTACACAAGACAAACATTGATAATAATTACACTACATAAAACATCACAATACATAAAATAGTGTTGCATAAAATATCAACACCTAACTTTCTCATTGTTTATATCATACAATTTCTTATATAGACTGATTCTTTAATAGTTAAATCATAAATTTATCACACATATACACTAACCAAATCACTCATTTTCTTAAAATCAACATATATTTCTAAAGAAAACATGTGAGCTAATGTATTGACAACTTAATAATTCTCCATGACATACAATTGTTATTTCATTTTAAGTTTTTCCAATCAACACGTATATTAAAAAGTTACTGAAATAATATTGAACTTATAATTTAATTTGTCTTTATAATAATTTAGAATATAATTCAATCAACTTAATCTTAAGAAAAAAATATTATTTTTATAGATAAAGTTCTTTAAATTCTAAGTAAAAAAATAAAAAGCTCTAACAAAAAACTCGCAGGTAAAATCCACCTCGTTCAGCCTCGGTTTGTTTATTTAAACGAGTTAAACGAAACGAACCAGCTTAAAGTATCGAACCGAAAACCTCAATTTAATTTATCAAAAATGACGAGTCAAACAGATCAATCTACACCGACCCGTTTTATCATTCCTACACACAAATGTGAGTACTAGAATTCAAACTTCAATAATAAATTTCAACCAAACAATATTAACTTCTATAGATTAAACTAGGATTTTGCAAACTTATACATATTAATATTACTATGAAAAGTTTAGTAGTATAAGACAAACAATATGGCCGTCTAAATCAAAATCAAAATCAATTGGACTAGAAATTCAAAAATTGTTGAACATTGACCAATTGACTCGAATAATGCTTAGCGCACTTGATTAAATGCCTGACCAGCTTATGAGAATCGATTCCTAGTAGAAATCCATAGTTCAAATTATAGTGGTGACTACTATTCAACACACAATTGAGGATTCCTAGTTCACCACTATATATAAATCACTGAAGACGCTTCTTTTGTAGCAACCTCAATTTTCTTTAGAGTGTGACACAATACACGCTTGCACAAAGCTACTAAAAAAATCACTTTGAAAATGACTTCCCCAAACAAGTTTATCTTAGCTATGTTTCTCATTTTCACAACATGGATTCTCCCACATGTAATATCTACTAGGGTCCTTCAACCTTTGTCATCAAATACACATGAGAAATGGATGGCACAATTTGGAAAATCTTACAAAGATGATGAAGAGAAGGAAAAGCGTTCTCAAATATTCAAGAACAATGTAGAGTTCATTGAATATTTTAATGCTGCTGGGGACAAACCTTTCAACCTTAGTATCAACCATTTTGCAGACCTAACTAATGAAGAGTTTAAGGCTTCACTTAAGGGTAAGAAGAAGTTACATAATGAGAAGGAAACGCCTTTTAGGTATCATAATGTAACTTCTGTTCCTGATAGCATGGATTGGAGAAAAAGAGGTGTTGTTACTCCAATCAAAGATCAAGGCACTTGTGGTACGTGTAATAAACCAAATATGTCTCTTATCATAAAAAAAAAAAAATTCATACAATTGTTAGCAGATAAACATGGCCGGCTTTGAAGATGTGCAAAATAAATTATGACACTGGACATCAAATTTTCCACTAAGAAATTGTGGTTAAATAGAACTTCATAATATATTTGTCAGAGTTAAATCATAATAAAATAGAAAATTTAACTTACTTAACTAATATAAGACTTTCAAAAACTTAAGACAGTTCTGAACTCTACGAAATATATTTTAAAGTCCTAACTTATAATATTAACTAATATATTTCCACAACTGGATATCAAGATATGACTAATGTATATTATTACTTCTTTTCTTGTTCAAGATAACTTAAATTAAATTTATATTTGTTTTTTGTTTTGATTTTTTTTGTTACACGAACTTGTGAAATAGGTAGTTGTTGGGCATTTTCGGCTGTGGGTGCAATGGAGAGTATCCACCAAATAACAACAGGTGAGTTAGTGTCACTATCAGAGCAAGAGCTAGTAGATTGTGTTAAAAGTAACAACACAGCCGGGTGCAGTGGTGGTTACATGGAAGATGCATTTGAGTTCATTGCGGAAAAAGGAGGAATAGCAAGTGAAGCATATTACCCTTACAAAGAGACCGATGAGAGTTGTAAGGTTAAGAAAGAAAAACATGCAGCTGAGATTAAAGGATATGAGAAGGTTCCATCGAAGAGCGAAAAGGAACTTCTTAAAGCGGTTGCGAATCAACCGGTGTCTGTTTATGTTGATTCAGGTGGTTCCACTTTTCAATTTTATTCTGGTGGAATTTTTACAGGAAAATGTCGAACTCGTTTGGATCATGCTGTTGTTGTGGTTGGTTATGGTGTTTCACATGATGGTACTAAATATTGGTTGGTGAAAAATTCATGGGGCACTGAATGGGGTGAGAAAGGGTACATGAGGTTGAAGCGTGACATAGGTTCTAAGAAAGGTTTATGTGGAATTGCTATAAGTCCTTGTTATCCGGTTGCTTAATTTACAACGGTTGCTTAATTGCATGATGCAAAATATATATGCATCTAAATAAAATATATTGTAGTTTGTATGTGTTTGCACGTGTTATGAACTTATGTAGGTTGTGTTACTAAAGTGGGTGCATAATAAAGTTATGGGCTTGTAATGATTTTCAATCATATTAATGAAATAAACTATATTGTCTTTGAGTATGTTTTATTTGGTTTTATAAATAAATATATTGGACAAACATGAGCCAAACAATCAAGGGTGGTTTGTTTAAGATTAAAATCAAAATAAGAGACGTAAGTTATTATAAAATTAATTAAAAGGAGAAGATCTTCATGATATATAGGGTCACTAACAATAAAGGTATTATCAATGGTGTGCATAATGTGGTTTGTTCTATTTGTTTTTTTGGTAGAAGAGGATGTTAGCATTTGTTTTGCTCTTGTTTTTTTTCTTTTCTTTCTAAATCATATTAATTTTTGTTCTTGGATTGGAGTTGATGTGTCTTTTTTCACGGGTTCTTTGTTAGAAGGATTTCTTGATTTAAATTCGCCATCTTCTTTTTAGTTTTTTATTGGTTTTGTAGGAATTCTATTCTTTTTAAAAGTATCTTCTTAAAAATTTGAATGTTTTGAGTTGATTAAGATTTGTGTTTGGGATTAGTAAATTGCTTTTAATAAGAAAGAGAGTAATATTTCTTAGACGGATTGGTGCTCCAATCCCAACGTTTGTTGGAGGTAGTTTTGCGGGATTGTTTTTGTTGGTGTTGTTAGGTTGTTTGGTTTGGTAGGTTTTGTTTGTTTTTGTTTTGGTTTCTTTTGTTGTAAAAGACTCTATGTGCCTCTTTTTAATTCAAGTTCTCATTTTTTTTATTAGTTTGAATTGCTGTAAACTGCTAAATTGTTATTAGTTTAATTTTGAAATTTAAATAAAATATAAAATATTTAAATTTAATGATAAAAAAGGAAAAGTAAAAAAAAAAATTAGTCAAAGATAAATATATAAATTAATCAAAAATAAAAATTTAAATAAAAGACATATTTTTAAAATAAAAATAAAATTATATCAATTTTCTAATTTTTAAAAGAAAGACATCAATAATATATATTTTAATTATTCATATATTATCTTTAAAAATATTATATTTTAAATTAAAAATAATTTTTAAATAAAAATATTAAATATATAAATAATTAAAAAATAACACATTTTTCTCGTGTTTGAATTGATACATTATTTGAAATATATTTACTTTTAATTTTTTTAATTGTACAAAAAATATAATAACTCATGCGTGCACACGGATTTTGCCTTCGTTACCCGTTCGGCGGTTACACGATACTGATGTGTTACTCATGCGTTCACATGAGTTTTGGTGTAGTTATTGGTGCGTTCACACGATACTGATGTGTTAGCCGTGCGTTCATATGAATTTTGGCCTGATTATCCGTGCGTTCGTATAGATACTGATGTAGTTTACAGATTTTTGTTTTCATGTGTTACCCATTTGCTGACATATTTTTAAAATAAAAAGAAAAATATTTTACCAAAATTATTTTATATTTCAAGTTTTCATACATTTTCTAAAAAATATTGTATGTTAAATTAAAAATAATTTTAAAATAAAAAATATTAGTAATATAAATAATTAAAAATCAATTTATTAGAAGTAATATACAATTCTAAATTTTGAATTGGATTTTGAGTGTTGAATCTAGAAACATTGAAATTAAAATTTTCAAAGTTGGGCAACAACCAAAATGATTTTGGGATAATACTTGTAATTTCACTGTTTGTTTTCTTTGATTGTAAATGGGTGAGCGCCCCTTGTGTCTATTTTTAATCCATGTTTCTATTGTTTATAAAAATATCACTAGCAATTGTTAAGAGAAAAAAAAAAACTAATTCACGTGTATGTAACTGGTTATACTTTTATGTCAATTGGTTACTCCCATTTAAAATTGTCAAATAAAAACTTAGAATAGAGAAACGTTACAATTTGACATAATATGTCAACCGATTACATCTATGTATTTTTACCCATATTCTCTTACAGTGGCTGAATGTAACCAGTTGGCATAATAGTGGAATTGGTTACATATGAGAGTTTTTAGTTTTATTTTTTTAATAATTGTACCTCATCTTATGCAATTGTATAAATGCTCTTGAGATATCTCACGAATAATAGAATGCATATTTTTCATCCTTAATTATCACTCTCTCTCATTCTCTCCCCCTCTCTATCTCCACACTCAATATTCATCATTGTTCATCAACATTGTGGTTCCAAGTTCTAACGTCTGGTATCAAGAGCTTGGTTCAATCCATCAAACACCTAGTATGCAAAAATGACATATGTTTCCAATGAATGAATCCCTGCAAATCTCGAGTTCTCGATGCAAAGAATTATGATAAGTGGTGCAAAAAATGAAAGTGTTGTTTAACTATCAAGATGTGTTTGAAGTGATCAATAACGTGGTAACTGCACTTGTAGAAGGTGCAACAGATGCACTACGGTCTAAGCATAAGGAGGAGAGGACTAAAGATTTCAAGGCGTTGTTTTTTATCCATCAATATGTTGATGTAGATAATTTTGGGAAAGTTGTTGATTGTGAATCATCGAAACAATTATGGGAAATCTTGAAGACGTCGTATGCAGAAGCTGACAAGGTGAAGGTTGTGAGGTTACAAACTCACAAAAGACAACTTAAGATGATTTAAATGGATGAGAAAGAACCCACCAATGATTTTACGATGAGAATTACTCAGTTGGTGAACCAAGTAAAGGCGTGAAAAGAAATTAACGATCAAAGAGCAGTATGTTGTCGCAAAAATCTTGTGCTCTTTGACACCAAGATTTGATAATATAGTGGTTGCGATTGAGGAATTGAAAGATCTTGCAACGATGAGCAAAGAGGAGCTGCAGAGCTCTCTTGAATTGCATGAGTAGAGAATGAATGAAAGGAATATTGATAACGTAAAGACTGAGATCGCTTTGCAAGACCGTTTCAATGAGAGAGACAAAAAGACAAAAATAAAGTGGCCCATGAAGAAAGGTAGAGAAAGATTTCAGAATATTGGTGGAAGAGAGTCCCAAAATTCTAATAATTCAACATTCGAAAAGGGTAAAAATAGTGGGAATAGGGTTGTTGGATCAAACAACTCAAGAGGTGAAAATGTAAGAGGTAGAGGAGGAAGAAGAATGGTTGACAAGAGTAGTATGTAGGGCTATAATTTCCAAAAGCTTGACTGTTTTGGAAGAGAGTGCAATGCCAACAAGAAAGATCCTCACGAATATGATACTAGAGTTGCACGCCATGTATTTGATAAGGAGAACACACTCTTGTTCATTACCACAAAAGGAGAATGATACAACAACATGTTGCATGAGAGTAGTAGTAGCAGTTTGAAAAATTATGCAGAACCAAAGTGTAATCGATTGCAGCTTTATGCTAACATATTACATGCTGAAGAAAACAAAATGGTACCTTTGAAAGAAGCATTGTAGTGCAATGACCAATTTTATTTGGACTCTGTATGTTAAACGCATATGACGGGAAGCAAATATTAGTTTATTATAATCAATTTTTCCATGAAGAACAAAGTAAAGTTTACGGACGATGCCACCCTAGCAGTAGAAGGGATCGGTGATGTATCAATCAAGAGAAAGGATAATATAAATTCTTTGATAAAGGATGTATTATATCCCCAAAATCAAGTGTAATCTTCTAAGTATTGGATAATTATTTTATAATAATTACAATATTCATATGGAGAACAAGGTGTTACGCGTTATGGATGTAAACAAAGTTTTGGTCCTAAAAGCTCATATGGCTGCCAATGGAGCAGATGTGTCTTGTTATAGCGGCTAGTAGAGAATAGTGGTTATAGTATTATTGATTTGGGCATCTCAACTTTAGAGATATCAATATTTTACAAAAGAACAGAATGGTGCGGGGAACCATTCATCAATATACTGACTGAAATTTATGAAGAATGTGTGCAAGCGAAGCAACATAAGGAAGAATTCAGCAAGGATACAGGTTTTAGAACCAAGTTTCACCTTGAGGTGGTGTATTAGAATGTGTACGGACCGATACAAGTTAATTCCTTTGGTGTAAATAAATTATTTGTCACATTCATTGATGATCATAATACAAATCTACGGACATACCCAATCAAGAGAAAGGATGAGGTATTTAAAGTGTTTAATAAGTTCAAGTTCATTGTTGAAAGGCAAAGCGGTCACAAGCTCACAGTTCTAAAAAGGGATGGTGGATGAGAATATGTCTCAAATTACTTTTAAAGGTTTCATGAGCGAGTAGTACCACCATATACAACACAATAAAATGGTGTTATCAAAAGGAAGAATCGATCAATCATGAACATGGTGAGAAGCATGTTGAAAGGGAATAATTTACCAAAAGAGTTATGGGGAGAAGCGGAGTCCACAACTACATATACGTTCAATATGTGTCCAACAAAGAAGCTTGACAAGATCAAACTGGAGGAAGCATGGTATGGATTTAAATTGAATCTGAGTCACTTGAGAGTTTTCAGTGCGGTAGCATATCGACATGTGTCAGAACATCTTAGAAAGAAGTTGGATGATAAGGGAGAATTGATTATTCTTGTAGGATATCACTCTACCGGTGGTTACAAATTGCTTGATTCAACAAACAAAAATATTGTAATAAGTATGGACGTCATTTTCGATGAAATAAAAGAGTTGTAGTAGATTGCAAACAATTACCATAATATGTCAGCTGGTTACACAAGTGAAAAGTTTGTTCCAACAATGCTGGAAAGTGCAAAAGCAGGCCCACGTTGAAGCCCTAATGGAGGAAAATGCTAGAATATCATCAAGGCAAAGAGGTTTTCCTGCTAGATTCCAACAGTGTGAGATGTTCCAGGATAACAAAATCAATGACGATGGTGATTTTGTCCATTTTGCACTTATACTCGAATTCGAACCTGTTAAAACTAAGGAGGCTTTGAGTGATCCAAAAAAA